ACTTAACATATTATTTAGTTTCAACCAAATATTAAATAAAAACATTAAAATTTTAATTATAGTTTGATTAATTATAAATTGACACATGAACTAAATTATAATATATTAAAAGATTTAATATTGCAATCAACCCTTATCACTTATCAAATTTACAAGATGAAGCCCCCATAAAAAATAAAAAATAAAAAATAAAAATAAAAACTGAAACTCTCGTTGAGTTTTACTGATTGTCTTACTGATTCTCTTTCCGAAAGAAGACCACCGTGACAATGTCCGGCCGCCGCCGTCGGGTCCACCGTGCTCCTCCGGCGTGAAGGTCGAGGGCTGCGACTGGCCGGCGTGGAGTTCTGACGGAGGCAGACCGGCGGCCGTCTATGGTGGGACTGGACAGTCGTGCTTGTGGCGGACGCGGACGGCGATCGTCTCTGGTGGCGACCAGTGGAGCTGCACTAGCGGGTGGCTGACGTCCGGCGCAGGAGCCACGGCAGCGTAAGTCGGAAGAGAGACGCGACTGGTTGGCGATAAGCTTTCACGGAAGATAACCGGCGGCATTGTGCTTGTGGCGGACGGCTGCCGTCTCTGGTGGCGACCGGTGGAGCTGCGGCGGCGGGTGGGCTCACCTCTCACGCGGCTGCGGTGGCTGTGTTTCACTGTATGTGTGTGTGCCCGACCGTGAGTATGTGCAGTGTGTGTGTAGGTGTGTAGATTAGATTTTTTTTTGGGGTACAGTGATCAGACTTGGGCTGCGTGAGGAGAAAGAGAATTGATGACATGTGATTAATTGGTGTTGTGGGTCGCACAAAATAAATGTGTATTGACCAATTTATCCTTAATTATTTGTAAATGTATATCTTTAACCATACTATGATCAAATAATTACCAGATTACCATTAATGATTGACCATAATTTGACTTCATCATAACCATTAATATGATTAATCTCATGGTCCATATTTATTCGCATTTCTTTCACTATCTATCATTCTCATATATATATATATATATATATATACATACAATTAACCCAGCAATATGTATATGTAATGTCAAGGTATGGAAGCATGACGAGGATGCAGTGAAGCTTGCAAAGCTGCACCTTGTAGCCATTTTTTTTACTGGGTGCCCAAGAATGTTACGATCGTGTATCGAAATTTAGGACTAGAACGAAAAAAGTGTAAACCCGCACTGGAATGGCCGTCGGTAGACACGAGATTTTGTGCTCAAACAAGCGTTTTCTGATTTATGATATTCAAGATAAATTTTTTTCTTCTTCGTACAATCCTTTTTATCTGCTAAGGAAAGAAAATAACTCCTACTGCTACTAGGAAACTGAATTAAAATGCAAAGGAAATAAATAAAATAATAAGAAATGTAATATCCCGACATTTTATTAGTATAAATTATATTTTAATTCCGATATAATAATGTTAACGTTTATTATTTCCGGAATTAATTATGTTCAGTCGAGATTACCGAAATTTATTTTCGACGTACCGTTTACGTCCAGAATAAATTTTGGTAAATAAGCATTATGTTTAATTAAATAATTAAGCATAATTTAAAGGATTAATTAGTAATTAATCCTTATTAGGGCTAGAAAGCCGTCCAATTATTCATAATATAGGGAAAAAGCCGTACGTGTTGTAGTATGTCTCCAAAAATTTTCCTAAGTAATAAGGAACCAATTTTCCTCTTCAATATTAAGCTTCACACGTGGCTTTAAGGCATACACTAGAAAGGGATTAGTCATCATCAAATTATCCCATATAAGAGCAAGTGGCAAGGGCCTAAGAGGCCACATCTCTCGTGCGTAACCATCACCCCCATCGGCTGAGTATAAATAAGACCATGTGGACGAAAATTTTCCCACCCTTTAGCA